CGCCCTATCTCCCTTACGGGACTCAGGGCGGTGAACAGGCGATAATAAAAACCATGATAAATATAGGCAGTTCTAAAATCAAATTAAATAACGGGCCTGTTCTAAAAACACACCCATACAAAAAACCCCACTAAAACATAATCAAACTACGCCAGGCCGGCCGCACGGAATAGATGGGCCTTCAGGGCTCGGCGAAAAATGTTAAGATGTTAGAACATCCCCCAACTTATGCACCCCAGAAAACCCCTCTAAGACACTTCTTATGATATACCTGTAGGTTCCCTATGGACAATTTCTTCATTAGCTCCGTAACATCTTAGATGTTCCACAAAGGAGATTGTTTACCTTGGCTCAAGGTAAAGCTTGATCTTCAACTCCAGCAGTTCCAGAGGTGCTCAAGTCTGCACTGTGAAGATTTTGCAATGTCCGTGAAAAGGGCAAGCCCAGCCAAGCGGCCCTCCCTCATTGTGACCCATCCGATTTACGAGCGGAGCAACAATGAAGGGCTGGATTCCGGGTGGCCTTTCATTCCCAGCATCCTGTCTCAACCCCCTGAGCGTCCTGCATAAACCCTGTTTCTTTCTCCTAATTCTGGAGCCCTGATTGATGGAGGAAGCATTGTCAGTCTTCCAAACTTCTCCATTCTGCCTTTCCCTCCTCTTTCTCCACAGTTTTCTGGGGGTCTGTGTTCCCGCTCACAAACCACGTTGGATCCTTGCCCTCCAAAAGCATCCGAGCTCAGGACAAATCCTGCACCGTGGTAGATGGTGGCTGAAGGACGTTCCTCGTTCTTCTCTGCAACGTTCCTCATTCTTCTTTCTTGCAAAAAACAAACAAACCCCATTCTTCTTTTGACATTTCTGCTCAGGGGACCAGCAAAGATGAATCCTCACGGCTGCTCTTTGCGTTTATTTATTTTATGGGTGTTTTTATTGTTTTGGTGGGGTTTTTTTTTAATTGTTTTGATTGCTTTATAATTTTAGAATTGTCAGCTGCCCAGAGCCACTTGGTTGAGTAGGGCAGCCATGGAAATTAAAAAACAAAACAAAACTAAGGCATTTAGAAGATCTGTTTTGCTTTGTTTTTTGTTTCTGACTTGAATATAGGAACACCACACGTTATAAATTAATATTGATCAAATATCAAACGCCTCTTCCTCAGTAGCAACCAATCTTCAACTAAGAAATAAGGAAAGGGCCAGAAAGTAAAAAAATTGCCCAGAAGCAGGCCTGGCTATACCCATTAATGTCCCTCCATGGTCTTTTTATTTTGATTTATTTAAAAGCTTTGTAACCTGCTCATTCTCCCAAAGGGTCTCTAGGATCTAATCTGATTTCAGATAAACCACTATCTTGCTTTAGCTATAATAAATCAGCAGTGTCATGACTTTCTTTCTTGTATTCCCTTTCTTTCTTTTCTTTCTCATTCATTCATTCTTTCTCTTTCTCCTTTGTTCTTTCCTTTCTCGCTGCCTTTCACTTTTTCTCTTTCTTGTTCCTTTCTTTTTCTTTTTTCTTTCTCTTTCCTTTGTATTTTTCTTTCCTTTCACTGTCTTTCACTTTCTTTTTTCTTTCTTTCTTTCTCTTTTCTTTTTCATCATCCATTTCCTATGGATTCCAACCTATTGATTCATTCCAGTGTCAGGCTGTCTCTGAAATACTTTCACTCACTTCTCCCAGACCCCGGCACGCCTCCCCCTCCCCTTTTCTCCCTCCAAATGTGTAATTGTCCATTTTTCATTCCACTTTGCCTTCCCGGTGGACCCTGTTCTCAGCCCAGATCACTACACTGCAATTGTTCCATGTTTACTTCAAACATTTTGGTGGGCAGTCATCCCAGTGGAAAAATAATTAATGGCAGGATCTGTTTAAAAAAAAAAGCTGGGACAATGCTGTCTGGGGAAAGAGGTGTGTGTGTGTGTGTGTGTGTGTGTGTGTGTGTGTGTGTGTGTTTTAAATAACTCAGAAAATGTTGTGGTCTTTTTTCTTTGGTATTCGGATGGTTAATCATCAGGAGGTTAAACCCAGTCTTGTCGAGTTTTTAAAATTCACATTATCACTCTGTTGCACCGGGATTAGACCGCATCACTTCAATGTTTTTAGAAAGCTTGGATAAAAATTCCTTTGGGTTTAATCCAGTCTGATCTCTTGTGACCAAAACTGAGACTCACATCCTGACGTTCTTAATCGAGGTTGCTGGATCCGTCCCCCTTTCCCCCACCACCACCACCACCCAGCCTTTTTTGAAAAGAAAACAACCTTTAAACAAACAGATGCTGACTTTAATGGATTGCGTAGTGCAAAGGAGCAGCTGAGATCTCATTTATATAAAAATGGGAAGTACAGGAAACCAGAAAAGGCTGGCAGCTGATCTGTTCACATAAATCCTCACTGGCTCCCAGCACATCTAAAGTGAGCAGTGGGAAAATTATTATTTAAAAAAAAACAAAAAAAACCAAGAGTTAACCATGGTTGGGTTTGTGGACCACTAACCTTCTCTAGGTCTGGTTTAATTGCCTCCAGGTTCTTTCTCCTCCCCTTTTTAAAAAATTGTGATGAAGCCACACGGCTTGCTTCAATTCCTCCCAGTTCATCCCTTGTCCCAAGGAGAATTACAGGCATCTTTCAGGAAGCTGAAAACAATTTCAAAAAAGTTTTGGATTTTTTTTCCCCCACCCAGCCATTTGGGGAATTTAAACTTTTTTGGCTGACAAGGGTGATGTTGTTCTCACTCAAAAAGGGAATTCAAGATTTAGAAATACACAAAAATGTCACACTTGCTTACCAACGTGTTAGGAGATGCCTAATAGAAAGGGAGAATTGCAGCCATAGCACAAATAATTCTTGACTTACAATCATTTGTTTAGTGACTGAAGTTACACACACACGGACAATATGACCGCATTTACAACTGTTGCAGCATTCCCCGCAGTCAAGGGATCGAAATTTGTGCACTTGACAAACGGCCTGCATTTATTTATGACGGGGGTCCTTGGTGCTCTCGGAGCTTGGTTGTTTTCTTGCAGACGTTTCATTACCCAACTGGGTAACATCACCAGTAAAGAGTGGGCTTTGCTCTCAGTTTATATCCTAGTGGTTTGCCCTGTCCGTGTTAGTGGATAATGGGGTTTGGGTAATGAAACCGACTGCAAGAAAACAACCAAGCTCAGAAGGCACCATGGACCCCATAGTCCTCCTCTCCTTCTTCCTCCTCCACAGGCCCCACTCCCTCCTAGCCCTGATGGTGTTACCCAGTTAGGTAACGAAATGTCTGCAAGGAAACAACCACGCTCAGAGAGCACCAAGGACCCTGTAGTGCTCTGCCTCCTCTTCCTCCTCCTCCCTCTTCTTCCTCTTCCTCTTCTTCCTCCTCTTCCTCTTTTTCCTTTTCTTCCTCCTCCTCCACAGGCCCCACTCCCTCCTAGCCCTGATGGTGGTACCCAGTTAGGTAACGAAACGTCTGCAAGGAAACAACCAAGTACCAGGGACCCTGTAGTGCTCTGCCTCTTTTTTCTTCTTCTTCTTCTTCTTCTTCTTCTTCTTCTTCTTCTTCTTCTTCTTCTTCTTCTTCTTCTTCTTCTTCTTCTTCTTCTTCTTCTTCTTCTTCTTCTTCTTCTTCTTCTTCTTCTTCTTCTTCTTCTTCTTCTTCTTCTCCTCCTCCTCCTCCTCCTCCTCCCCTCCTCCTCCCCCTCCTCCTCCTCCTCCTCCTTCCTCCTCCTCCTTCCTCCTCCTCCTGCCCCACTCTGATGGTGTTACCCAGTTAGGTAACGAAAGGTCTGCAAGAAAACAACCAAGCTCAGAGAGCATTAGGGACCCTGTAGTGCTCTGCCTCTTCTTCTTCCTCCTCCTCCTCCGGCCCCACTCCCTCCTAGTCCTGATGGTGTTACCCAGTCAGGTAACGAAACGTCTGCAAGAAAACAACCCAGCTCAGAGAGCACTCTTTCCACTCCGGGTGTCTGAATCGCATTGTTCTCCCCCGAACGGCTGCGACCCCCCCCCCCCATTGGCTCCAAGTTCCCCCAGCCTGGCTCTGATTGGGCGATCTCCCCCCCCCCTTGGCCCCGCCCCGGCTGATCCCTGGGCTTGGCTGGAAACTGACCAGCGCTCCTTCGGCGGCAGCGCGTCTGATCCCGAAGCGCCGTTTCCATCGGGAGCTCCGTGGGGGCGAGGAAGCGCCTCTTTGCGCCCACCCACCCCTCGGGCAAGGAGGCAGCCGAAGCCAAAGCCCCTCGGAAGGGCTGGGAAGCGGCGGCGGCGGCGATGGGGGACGGAGAGCAGGCGGAGCGGCTGAGGCTTCCCACGCGTTTGGAGAGGCGGCTTCTTTATATTTGAACTCCGCGCTGCGCCGCCCGTGGTTTTTCCTTCCTTTCTTCCTTTCTTCCTTCCTTTCTTTCCCCCCCTTTGCTTTCCCAGGGAAGCCCGTGAAAGCATGCCTTGGACCCCGCGCTTGCTTGCCCTTCTCCTCCTCCTCCTCCTCCTCCTCCTGGACCCGGCCTTTTGCAGTTACTCCGAGGATCAGTGCAGCTGGAGAGGAAGGTAAGGAGGGCGAGGAAGCGCAAAGACGCCCAGCTGAAGAGAGCCCGTGGCATCCCGCGACCTCTTTGGCTTGCATTTGGGGTTCCAGCCGGGGCAGGTTGCAAAACTCCGATCCGCCACGGCGGGGCGGCATAGAGGCTGTGCGTTTGGGACGGGGGGGGTCCTTAGCTGCCCTCCGGAGGGTCTTGGGGAGAGTTGCCGCCAAATACGCTTTCCCCCGCACGAGTTTACCTTTTAAAATAGACTCAACCCACCCACCCCTCTTCTCCCATCATCACTCCTGTCTCCTAAAACTGGAGCTTCTGCATTCTTGTCCAGGGGTGTCCAACCTTGGCAACTGTTGAGACTTCTGGACTTCAACTCCCAGAATTCCTAAGCTTGGCTGGCTGGGGAACTCTTAAAGAGTTGAAAGCCAGTTGAAAGGGTCTGAAGGTTGCCAAGGTTTAGACACCCCCTCTGCTCTAAACTCAAAAGGCTGGCTGGGGAATTTCTGGGAGTTGAAATCCGCCCGTTTTTTTCAAGTTGGCAAGATTGAGAAAGATTGTGCTAGAGACTCAAGAGTGATACTAACTAGGGGGTGACGTGATAGCAGTGTTCCAATATTTGAGGGGCTGCCATAAAGAAGGGGGAGGGGTAATTGATTTTTCAAAGCGCCAGAAGGTAAGACAAGAAATAATGGATGGAAACTAATCAAGAAGAGGAGCAAACCTGGAATTCGGGAGAAATTTCCTAAGGGTGAGAACAATCAACCAGGGGAAGAGTTGTGGCTGCTCCATCACTGGTGGCTTTTAAGAAGAGACTGGACAACCATTTGACCGGTATGGTATAGACTGGTCTCCTGCTTGAGTAGGGGGTTGGACTAGAAGACCTCCAAGGTCCCTTCCAACTCTGTTATTCTGATACAACGGCCATGCTGGCTAGCCATGTTCCTTGGTGTTTCTAGGCTGGCATGTAGAAATGTGAATGCAAGCATCTTTTAAATGTGCCTGTCTATTTAGTCTATTCAGTCCTGGCTTTCTGTCACAAATGCTGTTCTAAGGGGTGCCTCTGTACCAATTTCTCCTAGGGTTGTGTGTTGGAAAAGGATGTTCTAGATCAGGGGTGTCAAACTGCCGGCTCGCGGGGCGGATGCATCATAGCGGCAATGGGGAAAAAAAAATCATGATATGTCGCGACACGTCACGTGACGTGGCGAGTTTGACACCCCTGTTCTAGATGATATGAGTTGGTTTGGGGACAAATTCAAATAAAAAGGCTTACTGCTTTCGTGGATCTTTAGGCAAGCCAACGCTGCTCAGTGCAATTTGAGGGATCAATCCCTCGGGGTGGGGAGGAACAGTGTGGTAGAGTGGTTAAAGTGCCAATGAAGATTCTCAGTCCATCCAGGCAGAGCTGTCTGGAAGTTGAGTCATGGCAACTAGACTTTGTTGTTGTTGTTGTTGGTTGGAAACATTTCACTGCTTATCCAAGGACAGTGGTTCCTTGGGAGCCAACTGGTTTGAAACGCATCGAATGTGGAACTCATTTTGATGCGAAAACGTCGTCCCAGTACTCGTTGTTTGTTTAGTTTTCGATGCATAAGCTAGAACTTGCCTTGTGACTCACTTAATTATTCCTTATGGGGAAAATGTCATTGTTTTTGGTACTCGTTGTGCCTGCCAGAATCAATCAATGATAAGAATCGAGATACCACTGCAACTTCTTCAGTCTGAGCAAGTTGGTTAGCAAGTTTCGTTTCTCACCTAATCTGAATAGGCTCATTAGGTGAGTAGGCAGAATAACAGAGTTGGAAGGGACCTTGTAAGGTCATCTAGTCCAGAGGTCCCCAATCTTTTGGGTACCAGGGACCAGTTCCGAGGAGAGAAATTTTTCCGCAGACCGGAGGGGGTGTGGTTTTGTGTGCTGCCTGCATCCCACGGATGAGGCTTTGTTTGTTTGTGCGGCCCGGTTGCTGGCATGCTGTGGCCCGGTACTAGTCCACGGACCTGGGGTTGGGGACCCCTGATCTAGACCAACCCCCTGCTGAAGCAGGAGACCCTATATCATTTCTGACAAGTGGCTATCCAGTCTCTTCTTGAAAGCTTCCAGTGATGAAGCTCCCAGAATGTCTGAAGGCAATCTGTTCCATTGGTTGATTGTTCTCTCTGTCACAAAATTTCTCCTTATTTCTAGGTTGAATCTCTCCTTCATCAGTTTCCATCCGTTATTCCTTGCCTGGCCTTCGGGAGCTTTGGAAAATAGGTTGACCCCCTTCTCTCCATGACAGCCCCTCAAATATTGGCACACTGCTATCATGTCTCCGCTGGTCCTTCTCTTCATTAAACTAGACGTACCCAGTTCCTGTCACCGTTGTTCATCTGCTTAAGCCTCCAGCCCCCTAATCATCTTTGTTGCTCTTCTCTGCACTCTTTCTAGAGTCTTTCAAAGAGTTGTTAAAGGTTCTTCTCTTAGGTGGATTGTTAAGTGTGACTTCCCTGTTGAACCTGGGGCAAGGATCCATCATTTCTGAATTTTTTTTTGCTAAGGAAATTCAGCACTCCTGTTAATGCCAATCTCTCCATCCCTTTGGAGTTTGTTCATCCTTTTTAGGGGGGAAACATAAGAAAAAATGGTTGAGACTGATGAAAAGTTGGACATTTTAACTGAAGAGGGTTGCTGAAGAAAGCATCTCAAAAGCACTGAATTAGTTCTTTCTCATGGGGTGTTATATCTTTTGGGGTGTTAGCCTACTTTTCCTCCTAAAGGTAGGGGATGACAGAGGTAGTTTGTCCTAGAACAGTGTGAAAAAATTGATTTGAAGATTTGGGGAATCTCAAAGACGATTCAGGCGATTCAGTCAGAATCGTCATTGAAGGTGATTCAGTCAGATCCCCAGATCCAATCAACAAGGGCATCTGGGTTGATCATTGTGGAGGAAGTCATCCCGTTGGATGGGTTTGACAATTATGGAACAAATTGGAAGGTTGATATTGTGAATCAAGTCATCATGTTGGATAGGTTGACAATTATGGAGCAAATCAACAAATTGGATGGGTTGATAACTGTGGATCGAGTCATTGCATCAGATGGTTTGATAATTGTGGATCAAATTACCATATTGTATGGTTTGATAATTGTGGATCAACTCATCCCATTGGATGGGTTAATAATTGTGGATCAAGTCATCACATTGGTTGGGTTGATAATTGTGGATCAACTCATCCCATTGGATGGGTTAATAATTGTGGATCAAGTCATTGCATTGGATGAGTTGATAATTGTGGATCAAGTTACCGTATTGGATGGTTTGATAATTGTGGATCAACTCATCCCGTTAGATGGGTTGATAATTGTGGATCAAGTCACCCCATTGGATGGGTTGATAATCATGGATCAAATTAGATGGAAGATAAATATTACTAATTGCTTTGAGTTGGAGATGTATATTTAACCATGCTATTGCCTGGTTCTCCTGAAGATATAAGAGAACTGATGGATTGACTGGTTGATTATATGATATCAAGGCAGTGTTGACTCTTAGTAACTATATAGACTAGTGCTTAAGGATTGTCTAATGAAGGGAAAGGAATTATAGGGTACCCACTCATAATGATGATACCCTAGGACAGGGGTAGGCAACCTCGGCTCTTTTATGACTCATGGACTTCAATTCCCAGAATTCCTGAGTCAGCATAGCATAGGATGCAGTAGTTAAAGATGCTGAGCTACAGGTAATTCTCACTTACTGACTGTTTGTTTAAGAACTGTTCAAAGTTATGATGGAACCAAAAAAAAAGTGACTTAGGACTGGTTTTTGCAGTTACGACCATTTCAGCATCCCCACGATCACAGGATCATGATATGGGCACTTGACAGCCATCACGTATTTTTGACAATTTCAGGGTCCCACAGTCACGTGATGGCCATTTGCAGCCACCCCAGCCAGCTTCTGACCAGCAATGGGGAAGACAGCAGAGAAGATTGCAAGTCACTGTCACCTGAGTCTTATTTAACGCCCGTGACAAAAAATGGTCATAAAATTGGTTGCGGTCACACGAGGTCTCACTTAACCACTGTACTGCTTAAGGACACGTTTTTTCCAGTCCCTGTTGTGTTTGTAAGTCGAGGACTACCTGTAAGATTATGGAGACCCGGATTAAAACTCCCACTCAAGCTGGAAGCTCAGTAATTGACATGGAACCTGTCGACGCCTTTCAGTCCAGCCTCCTTTACCGGGTTGTTGTGAGAATCAAATGAGGAGAGAGCTTCTCCGTGCTTTTCTGCTTCCAGCTGCCAGAGGAACACAAGACAGGAAAGAAAATACTTGCACCAATCCTTAAAAAAAATGTTTCTCCTTCAAGAAGGTTCGAATTGAGCTACTAAGAGGGGAAATGACAGAATGAAAAGCCTACGGCAAGATGGTTGACAAAGAGGAACATCAAATGGTACAAAAATCAAACGCATAGGGCAGTCTCTCTCCACGCTGGCTGGGAATTCTGGGAGTTGTACTCCTAGCAGATCTAGAAGCAGAATTAACAGAGTTGGAAGGGACCATGGAGGTCTTCTAGTCCAACCCCCTGCTCAGGCAGGAAAACCTCTACCATTTCAGACAAATGGTTGTCCAGTCTCTTCTTAAAAACCTCCAGTGTTGGAGCATTCACCGCTTCTGGAGGCAGGTTGTTCCACTGGTTAATTGTTCTCACTGTCAGGAAATTCCTCCTTAGTTCTAGATTGCTCGTCGCCTTGATTAGCTTCCATTCTTTGCTTCTTGTCCTGCCTTCATGGGCTTTGGAGAATAGCTTGACTCCCTCTTCTTTGGGGCAGCCCCTCAAATATTGGAAGACCGCTATCGTGTCACCCCTCGTCCCTGTTTTCATTAAACTAGACATACCCAATCCGTGCAACCGTTCTTCAAATGTTTTAGCCTCCAGCCCCCTCATCATCTTTGATGCTCTTCTCTGCCCTCTTTCCAGAGTCTCGACACCAAGCAATAGAAGAGAAGCTTTGTGGCTCACGGTTGAACTGTGAGATCCTTGGTGCTCTCTGAGCCAGACTGATGATGTTACCTAGTTTGGTAAGGAAACGTCTGCAGGAAAACCACCAAGCTCAGAGAGCGCACGGACCCCATAGAACTGGAAGCCAATAATAATAATAATAATAATAATAATAATAATAATAATAATAATAATAATAATAATAATAATAATAATAATAATAAAGTTGGAAGGGACCTTGGAGGTCATCTAGTCCAATCCCCTGCTCAGGCAGGAAACCCTATACCATTTCGGACAAATGGCTGTCCAGTTTCTTCTTAAAAACTTCCAGTGTTGGAGCATTCACTGCTTCTGGAGGCAGGTTGTTCCACTGGTTAATTGTTCTCACTGTCAGGAAGTTTCTCCTTAGTTCTAGGTTGCTTCTCTCCTTGATTAGTTTCCATCTATTTGTTTCCTGTCCTGCCTTCAGGCGCTTTGGAAAATAGCTTGACTCCCTCTTCTTTGGGGCAGCCCCTGAGATACTGGAAGACTGCTATCCTGTCCCTCCTCGTCCTTCTCTTCGTTAAACTAGACATACCCAATTCCAGCAGCCGTTCCTTATATGTTTTAGCCTCCAGACCTCTAATCATCTTTGTTGAGGTGGGAAAAGGCTGATTCTTCCACAAATGGGTCACAGAACTGGATTACATCACCCCTTGACTCTAAGCCACCCTGCACTCCCGGCTGTGCGATGGTTTGGGAAATTTCTAAGTTTGAAAGACTTCACAAAAAGAGAAAGAGAAACTCAGGAGTCTGGGGGGAAATCCCTCCCCCAAAGCCAATCTCCTAATTACAAGCCATTTCTCTCTAATCTGGCTACTTCCAATCTTCTCTGCCCCTCTTCTCCCTTCCCCCCCCTTCACATATTTCCTGGTCACCAAAGGATAATACTTTTTGGTTTGGCAGAGAGATTCGGGGCGAACGTGTTAATGGTTTGAGCTCCCCACATGCAAGAAATTAAGCTAATACCATTAGCCAGCCACTCTTTTGTTTTCCTCCTGTTCCCTTTTGTAGGCTGTTTAAAAAGAAAACAGGAAAAATCTTGTCTGTGGGCCAAGCAGCTGGTGGAAAATGACTCCAGAGCTGTTTACAGGAGAGACAGAGAGAGAGAGTGGGAAAAAGAAGGGAAATTTAAGGAGTTTGGGAATCCTGAGATCCTGTTTATAACACTGAGTATGGGAGTGGACACCCCTTTTTCCCTTGGAAATCAGGCAGCCTAAAGAATGGTCCTCAAGCCTCATTATCTATGGAGCTTCTGAAGAGGAGCCTCAATAGAGCTTTTTGTCATTAAATAGGCTGGAGGGGAGGGGACACAGCTGCAACATCTGGTTCTCGGCTGGCTTGATCCTTTGCAGAAGACAAGCGGATGAGTCATGGTTCGTGTGAAAATGGCAGGCGTCAGTCAAGGCTTTCCCACCCTCTCTGATGGCATCCACCAGGTCAAGATGGGGTGGAGGGGGACAAGTTGGACAGTTGTCAAGATCTAAGGAGGCAGCCTCTGAGCAGATGGGCTGTGGGGGTGGCTGAGTCATGGCCCTCACCCACACATCCCTGCCGGTGATGAAAGGCAGAGAGGCAGATCTGACCGGTCTAGCCGACCACAACTTTCCCAGGAGAATCCAAGGGGAAGCACATGGATGACCTCAGAGCAGACATCAATCCCAAATATTGGAAGACAGGGGTCCTAGGACCTTTGGGGGGGGGCTCTGGTCCATGGAAAACAGTTGAGACCACATGGTGGGAAAAACATAGACCAGAAGGTTTTGGCTTAAGGTATCACAAAAGATCTGTTATGGGAACGGTGCCCGCTTATCAAATTCCATTTATCAGAAGACGAACTCCACCGTTTGTTCTAAGAGTTCTAAGGTTTTATATTTTCTGGGGAAATTTTTATATTTTATTTGAAGAGTTTGTATTTTAAGAAACCCTGGTGGCGCACTGGTTAGAATGCAATATTGCAGGCAAACTCTGCCCACTGCCAGGAGTTCGATCCTGACCGGCTCAAGGTTGACTCAGCCTTCCATCCTTCTGAGGTGGGTAAAATGAGGACCCAGATTGTTGGGGGGCAAATAATGCTGACTCTGTAAACTGTTTAGAGAGGGCTGTGAAGCACCGTGAAGCAATATATAAGTCTTGCTTTCAGCTTGCCTTCAGAAATTGTGGGCGCTCCATCACTGGAGATTTTTAAAAAGAGACTAGACAGTCACTTGTCTGAAATGGTGTAGGTTCTCCTGCTTGAGCAGGGGGCTGGACTAGAAGACCTCCAAGGTCTCTTCCAGCTCTATTCTATTCCATTCCATTCCATTTCATTCCATTCTAAAGTGCTATTGCTATTGCTAGTTTCTTGGAAGAGTTTATAATTTATTTGAAGATTTCATTGTTATCTTCTCGGATGTGCTCTGAGCTGCCCAGAATCATTCTGGAATCAGTGGTGCCTAAAAATCAAATAATTAAATTAAATTAAGATGGACACTTCATATCGCTGCAGTTTATCCTTTTCTCTTTTCCCCCCACATTATTTCCAAATAATCTGTGACCCCGTTCAAGCGAATTTCTGGGTGATATGCAAAAGGCAGGCTCTGGACTTTGAGCTATGACAGTTTCCTGATTTATTTATACTCCTTGCAGACCGCTGGTCATTTGCATCCTTTTAGAGAGTTGTTGAGGCCACTTGGAGGCTGTCTTCAGTGACCCTGAGGACACAGATAAACCTCCAACTGGCCTCAACTACTCTCTAAAAGAATCCCAATGACCAGCTGTCTGCAAGGAGTATAAATCCTTCCATTCCCCACCATCCAGTCAGAGCTGAAGAAGCTTCTTGGATGAGAAGCAAAATGTTTTCAAAGAAAAACAGAAAGTCCAGTTGCCTTGGGGACTTCAAACAGTCGCTAAACAAATAGCTGTAAGTTCAAGACTACAGATAGCCCTTAACTTGCAACCACAACTGTGCCCAAAATTTCTGTTGCTAAGAGAAACATTTGTTGAGCGAATTTTGGCCCCATATTATGACCTCTCCTGCCACAGTTGTTAAGTGAATCGCCGCAGTTGCTAAGTGAGTAACATGGTTGTTAAACAAATCTTCCCCCTTGACTTTGCTTGTCCGAAGGTCGCAAAAGGGGATTGCAGGATCCCGGGACACGGCAACCGTCCTAAATACGAGTCGGTTGCCAAGCGTTTGAATTTTGACCACGTGACTATTAGGCTGCTGCAACGGTCGTAAGTGTGAAGACTGGTCATCGGTCGCTTTTTCCAGTGCCGTTGCAACTTTGAACGGACACTAAACAAACTGTTGTAAACTGAGGAATACCCGTGCTTGTAATCTGTACTTCAAGCGAGACAGGAAGCTGGGCAGGTACATTGGGAGTTGTGGGCGGGTGCCCAGGGGTGCCAGATTGAAGAACCATGCCAGTCAGGCAAAGGCCCTTTCTTTGGCTAACCCTGTCTCACTCTCCCTTGCAGTGGTCTCTCCCAAGAAGCTGGCAGTGTGGAACAGATCTCCTTGCACTGTGCCGAAGGATCCCTGGAATGGCTGTACCCAGCCGGAGCGTTGCGCCTAAGCCTGTCCCCCCGCCTGCCCACGGGCCCCGCCGGCAAAGAGAAACCGCAGCACGTCACCGCTTGCATCAAGTCCTCCAGCAGCTTCCGGGGAGCCCAGATTTACTTGGAACGAGACGGGGTCTTGGAGCTGCTCCTCTCGGAGACGGACGCGGCCCTCCAGCCCAAGGTGCGCTGTTTCAGGTGGCTGCCGCGAGAGAAAGTCGCCCTCTTCTTGCAGTCCACTTTGCACCAAGACATCAGCCGTCGGATTGCAGCTTTCCGTTACGAGCTGCGGGGCGAGGGGAACGCTCACTTCTCCTGGTCCTGGAGGAACCTCAGCGTGGAAGGTGTGTTTGTGTTGGCCTTGCGGGGATCAACCAGATAGGGAATCACCAGCAGATGGGCTCATTCTACTTTACTGTAATGCTACGATGAGCGAATCTTGCAAGTCTGAAACTACAGTCCTCTCAAGGAGAATATTTGTAGCTCAGGGGTCCTTGGTACTCTCTGAGTTTGGTGGTTTTCTTGAAGACGCTTCATTACCCAACTAGGTAACATCATCAGGGGTAGAACTAGCACGGATGGTGTTACCTAGTTTGGGTAATGAAACATCTGCAAGAAAAACACCAAGCTCAGTGAGCACCAAGGACCCCTCAGTTCAATCTCCTCCATCTTTTTTGTGGCCTCAGAGGGTCTCTTCTGAGGGAGGGTCTCTTCTGAGCCTCTTGTCCTGCCCAGTATTAAGTTGTGGGCTAAGCTGCCACTGTTCCCTTGTCAGCATCTCTTCACCTAATCTCCCATGTTCTTCCCCACATACCATTATAATTTGTTTGAATGACTTGTGGGAATGTTGGACCAGGAAATGTCCCTTCAGCCGCTCAGGATCGAACTGCTGGCAAGTGGCAGAGTTAGCCTGCAATACCGCACTCTAACCACTGCGCCACCACAAAGCAATTGTCCTAATTACTGTCACGTGCCATATGGCCATGCACCCAAATTTTGATTGCAGGACCACGAGGAATCAGGGATGGCCGTAAGCGTATGTCATAGTCATTTTTTTCAGTGCCATTGTGACTTCAAATTGTTGCTAAGCAAATGCTTGCCAATCGAGGACTACCTGTATAAAAAATATAATTTTAACGTGTGCTCGGCGAAGAGGTGCATCTATTTAAAACTGGAGTGCAGAAGAGCTTCAGGACAGCTGGAGGTGGGCAGACAGCTTCTTTAAGGAACCCCCCCCCTCCGAAAACCTCCGATTGAATAATCTCTCCGGCACTCAACACAACTTTGCAGCAAGCTTCCGATACAGAGGAAATCCATGGTTTACCATCTCCTTGGCACAAAGGATCCTGGAAGCAATCAGTCAGTTTCCCACTATTTAAATCCTTTGATATGGTGGGATGCCAGAATGCTGTCTGTCAATCATTCGACAATATTTGATTGCTGCTGGATGGGAATGGGGAAATTCCGGTAACTCTCTTCTCCCCTTCCACAAATCACGCTAGGAATCTGAGCGGTGGGGATTGGGTAAATCCCTGGAGGACAAGCTTCCTTTTTAAGGTCCCTTGTCCACAGGTGAACATCATGGAAGATTAAACTCAAAGTACAGGCAGTCCTTGACTTAACAACCATTCGTTTAGCGATCAAAGTTACAACGGCACTGAAAAAAAGAGACATATGACCATTTATCACAACCAAACTTAAGTCCAATCTGTCTTGAATGTGGCTGACGTTTATCAAACTCTTACCAGATGCTGAGCATTAGCTGAGGCCGCTTTTAGCAATAAATCAGTTAAATTGATTGGCCCTGGTTTTTCATACCCAACAAGGCACCTCATATTCTGCACGCAAAGTTGTAGGGAGCCATCTACGCGAGGATATGCGCCAAGCATCATCATCTTTAAATAATGAAGAAATAACAATCATTTAAATATGAGCCAGCAGTGTGCTGTAGCTGCCAAAAAAGCCAACACAGTGCTAGGCTGCATTAACAGAGGGTTAGAATCAAGATCATGTGAAATATTAATACCGCTTTACAATGCCTTGGTAAGGCCACACTTGGAATACTGCATCCAGTTTTGGTCACCACGATGTAAAAAAGATGGTGAGACTCTAGAAAGAGTACAGAGAAGAGCAACAAAGATGATTAGGGGACTGGAGGCTAAAACATATGAGGAACGGTGGCTGGAATTGGTTATGTCTAGTTTAATGAAGAGAAGGACGAAGGGGGACATGATAGCAGTGTTCCAATATCTCAGGGGCTGCCCCAAAGAAGAGGGAGTCAAGCTATTCTCCAAAGCGCCTGAAGGCAGGACAAGAAGCAACGGATGGAAACTGATCCAGGAGAGAAGCAACCTAGAACTAAGGAGAAACTTCCTGACAGTGAGAACAATTAACCAGTGGAACAACCTGCCTCCAGAAGCGGTGAATGCTCCAACACTGGAAGTTTTTAAGAAGAGACTGGACAGCCATTTGTCCAAAATGGTATAGGGTTTCCTGCCTGAGCAGGGGGTTGGTCTAGATGACCTCCAAGGTCCCTTCCAACTTTATCATTATTATTATTATTATAATCCTAATAAATAGGTGGAGAATAAAGGCCAAATCCAGTGTAAACATCTGGCTGGCTGTGTGACGAATGGGGACATATAGCCATTTATCACACTTACGACCGTTGCAGCATCCCCAAGGTCATGTGATTTGCATTCGGACACTTGACAATCGCTTCGTATTTAGGACGGTTGTGTGTCCCGGGGGGTCACGTGATCCCCTTTTGCAAGCCAAGGCAACGGGAGAAGCCAGATTTGTTTAACAACCGTGTGACTAATTTAACAACTGCAGTGATTCGCTTAACAAACGTGGCCGGAAAAGTCGTAAAATGGGGCAAAACTCACTGAACAAATTTCTCACCTAACAACATAAAAGTTTGGGCTCCTTTGTGGTGGTAAGTTGTAAGCATCCCAGAATCACGTGACCGCCATTTGTGGTCTTCCCAGCCAGCTTCCAACAAGCAAAAGTCATTGGGGGAAGTTGTGTTTGCTTAATGACTGGGCGGGTGCTGTTTTGGTCATAAGAGCAAGGACAGCCACAAGTCACTTTTTGCAGCACTACTGTAATTTTGAACCCTTGCTACATGAAGGATTGTAAGTCGAGGACTATGTGTCTGTTGGTTATGGGCCCAATTGCTGTTTAGTGACTATTTGTTCCTTTCCCCCTTTCAAAGATGCAGGGACTTGCCGTCCGTGTAACAACACCGAAATCCTGATGGCAGTTTGCACAAGTGATTTTGGTGAGTAGATTTTCTCCAGTGTTATTTACTGCTCTCTTCACCATCCGTGGAGATTCTCAGTCATGCAGGTCATGGTTGTCTCAAAGGTGCGTTTTCAAGAGGCAACTGGACTTTGTTGTTTTTTTTGAAGACGTTTCATTTCTGATCCAAGAAGCTTCTTTAGTTCTGACTGAATGATGGAGGAGGGAAGGATTTATATTCCTGGCAGTCCTCTGGTCATTAGTACTCCAGCTAAGAGGCTAGAAAGTGGAGTTCTAGTCCCACCTTAGGCATGAAAGCCAGCTGGGTGATTTGGGGCCAGCCCCTCTCTCTCAGCCCAACTCACCTCACCTCAGGGCGGGTTGTTGTGGGGAAAATAGGAGGCAGAAGATGTGTTGGATACATTCACCTTCTTATTAGTAAAAAGGCAGAAGATTAGATAGATAGATAGATAGATAGATAGATAGATAGATAGATAGATAGATAGATAGATAGACAGATAGACAGATAGATAGATAGATAGACAGACAGACAGACAGACAGACAGACAGACAGACAGACAGACAGACAGACAATAGATATGAGAGAGAGATGATATAGATAGAGAGAGAGAGATAAAGAGATAGAGATGATATAGAGAGATAATAGATGATAGATAGATAGATAGATAGATAGATAGATAGATATGAGAGAGATGATAGATAGATAGATAGATAGATAGATAGATAGATAGATAGATAGATAGATAGGAGAGAGAGATGAGATAGATAGACAGAAAGACAGACAGATAATAGATATGAGACAGATGATATAGATAGATAGATAGATAGATAGATAGATAGATAGATAGATAGATAGATAGATAGATAGATAGATAGATAGATAGATGGATGGATGGATGGATGGATGGATGGATGGATGGATACTTGGAGGTGTTACGGTGCTTTCATTCCCCCTTTGCAGTGCTTGTGGTCATCCACCTGCCTTCCCTCCCTCTGTTGTGGGCAGCTTTCGCTTGCTTGCTAAACCCCCCCCCCCCCATGTTCAATCTTCAGCCCTGGAAGAAAGAGGTCACGGCGTCTGGGAGGGCCCAGCTCTGGGGTTGCTACAGCAACTGGCAAGTCAGACAAGAGAACAGGCGGATTTGTCACGCCAGATCAGATCAGGGGCCTATCGGGAGACCTCCGAGAGGCTCCTTGCCGATTCGGAGGGAGGGAGGCGGACACATTTTTGAGCTGGGGTGGGGGTGCTGGGTGCCGAAGGCCGAGAGAGGACTGGCCGAATCCTAACAATTCTACAGCTACTCAAAGGCCATTGCAGCCGATTGGGAGAGAGGTCAGCAAAGAAAAGTCAGCCAGATTCCTCTCCGGGAAGATCCCTTGACCACCCTGAGATCAGAGTTAATGGATATTTTTAATAACGCCCCTTGCGGCCACAGGACTGCAACTGGACCGCGTTTGTGGCTATTCGCGGCATCCCGCAGTCGCATGACCGCGGCTTATGGCAATTTTGGCCAGGAACTGGTGTTTGCTTTCAGTTTCCCACCACAAACACCCACCGGTTACAATGCAGCGTTCGTTTAAACCACAAACCAGGTTATAAAATAGGGCGCAGTCCCATGGTGGTTCGCTTAATGGCCGCCACAATCTCTGGGCTCAAGCACAGTTGGAAGTCAAGAACTATTTTATATTTTGTTGTGTGAATTACCCAGCATGTCGAACCATAATAAAGCTGCCTGTTAATTGATCCAACTCTGGCTGTTGTCTTAAATCAGGGCTAGGATCAAATGTCTTTTAGAGTCATTGACAGAGATTCTCTTACCTGCCATGGAAACTTCAGATCAGGATTTACTATGGGTCTTCTCCGTGGCTATAAAAGGGGGTCAGAATTACAGGGGGGGGATCGTTGGACCTCAGATGTGCTTCAGCTATAGTTCTGAGCAATCCCAGTTAGTCCCTCTAATGATGAAGATTGCCGGGAACTGTAGTTTAGCAGCCTCTGGAGAGCCAGCAATTCCCACTTCTTTTCTAAAAATGATTCTTTACGAAAACCCACCCAGGTCCCTTTC